CTCTCTCTCTCTCTCTCTCTCTCTCTCTCTGTCTCTCTCTCTCTCTAGCTAGCATCTATGGCCCCATTCAGATTGAGAAGAGCCGAGTGCTAACAAGGCCACGACCTAAATATGGCGGACCTACATGAAAGGAAGACTGCTTAATCCTGTAATGGTCTCAGACTCTCTTCGCCTCTCACACAGCTCCCCATGCGTTGTCCCTCAACCGGTTGAATTGAGCCGAGATTTAATTACTGTGCCCCAGCAGGGACGACGGGTGGAGAAGCGTGTGAAAGGCGGAGAGACCATTACAGGATTACTGGTAAGCGTTCTTCCTTTCATGTAGGTCCACCATATTTAGGTCATGGCCTAGCTAGCACTCGGCTGTTCTCAATCTGAATGGTCCCTACCTAGCTCTCTCTCTCCTATCTCTCTAGCTCTCTCTCTCTCTCTCTCTCTCTCTCTCTCTCTCTCTCTAGACAGCTGCTATGCCAGGTGTTCCATACAATGTTTATGTAGTCTGGGGCTGCTTAGCTGATGTACAAATTATTATGTTACACCAACACACCTGACAGCTGGAGTTGTGTTCATTATGGCTCCCCTTCCCCCCCCCCTCTCTAGCTCTCTCTCTCTCTCTCTCTCTCCCCACACTCTCTCTCTCTCTCTCTCTCTCTCTCTCTCAGTAATCTTGAATTAATGTTACTCTGCATATCATTATGTACAGAAAAAAAAAACACACACACACACACACATGCACATTTCAATAAATCTTTTATTCAGAATTACCAAACAGAATTTACTCTTTCCCAAGTATGTTAAGCCGACACACCTGGCCTAGTAGGTGATATACTAGTACTCACAGACAGCAGAAGTGCCAGCTGTATACTAGTACTAGTATGTGTGCAGTAGAGAGATAGATAAAGATTGGAAACTGTTCTTCTTACTCCATCTAGATCAAATGATTGGGCCTCTTGAACAGAAAGTAAAAGGGGGCAAACAGAATATTATCCTAGTCTGTGTTTGTGTAAAATATAATAAATAAAATGAATTAAGAAAAAAAGGATAAAAAAAGAAGTAAATGTGAGGGGGGAGAGAAAATATTGGCATCAATGTGAATGTGACTCAATCTCATGTCTCCGGCTAAAGTCTTACAACGGATTTGATTATAGACTCATCACTGGTAGCCCATTGTTTTGGTCAGGTCATGTGGAATTTTCACAAAGTGTTATTCTGTCTGCTGTGTTTCCCAACAGCTTGGATAAAGTGAAATAGGAAAATGGTAATTATCAGTGAGGAATTTAGCAAAATTGATTTTTGATTTAACCTTGTTAATGTTTTAGATATTTTAATTTAGGTTATACACCAAAATGTGATCGTACAGTTCATGTTCAGTATGTAATCCATTGTAGACTCTAGAAATGTCTTAATTCTCTGGAAGAACTACCAGTAAGGATTTAAGTTTTCTAATGTAGCGACTTTAATAGTAAGGTAAGAAGACACCAAGAATAATCTCAGTTCCATAGATTTCTATTCATTTTCAGTGGCCATTAAAATGTTTTGGGTTGATATTGAACATTACTAAGACCAAATGGATATTGTGTACATATACCTTACATAACCTGTCTTTGTCATGGCATATGATAGTGGATAGCAGAACATTGAACATTTCTAAGATCAAATAGATATCATGTACATATATACCTTAGGTAACCTGTATTTGTCATGGCATGATAGTGGACATCAGGTATTTGAGTACAGTATTGTTATCAACACCTTATATGTATTATATACTAAGCCACTTCATCACTGCTAGTGTGTCCTGTTGGTGTGTCTGCCATTCTTTACCCAGGCAGTGACTTACTGTACTCATACTAGTAGCTATGCTATATATATATATATATATATATATATATATATATATATATATATATATATATATATATATATATATACACACATACATCCATCCACTATGAAGATACTAAATATCAGTAATCAATATTACAAATTAGTGTCACCAATCATATCACTGTCTCTTCCTGTAAGTGACATATAACAGCCACCAGTTCCGTGTCTCTTAGGGTGTAATCATCCCAAACTGAAGACTAGGTAAACAGCAGTCAATTACAACTGGTAGACCCCTGAGGTCACCTCTGAACCTTGAGGGCCTGTTAAGAACCAAGTTGAACCGCGGCCTACTAGTAACTGAGCTGTGAATCAAATACGGCCGACCCACTACTAGTAAAAGGTTGTGGCTGGTGGGAATCTATTAAGGGATTATAATCAGCAAGCTTTCATTTGGGTCAGCCATATTTGATCTTCTGATCAGTTAGTCCAGAAATCAATTTGGTTCTGAACAGGTCCTTAATATGTGGAGTTAAAAACATCAATAGTAATAATGAACACATAACTCCACCTGTCTGTATATATATTAATAGACTGATAGAGAGATAACAAAGAGATTTGTCTTTGTGTGTATTGACCTGGAAGCCATATTGACTGTATTTACATTTACTTTGTAGAAAGACAGGATATGCTGCCAGAAGTTCTTGTACAGTGTTGTTTTCCTGTGTTGTGTTGAATAATTTACATTTATACCTAAAAGAAGAAGAAGAAGAGAGAGAGAGAGAGAGAGTAAGGCAGAGGAGGGGGGGTGGTATATCAAGAAGTACCTAAGCCAAGCAGACAGAGTAAGATCATTGTAATACAGCCTGAGGAATTCCATGTCATAGTCTGGAATACAATAGACACACATTCTTCTTTACCCTATGTGAAAGGAATGAGGCTAAGAGGATATCAGATACACTGAGTCTGTCAGGGCCTGTTCAGTACCAAGTTGATCCACAAACTAAGTGATCTACACATCAAATACACTGATATCAGATACACTGAGCCTGTCAGGGCCTGTTCAGAACCAAGTTGATCCACAAACTAAGTGATCTATGCATCAAATACACTGATATCAGGTACACTGAGCCTGCCAGGACCTGTTCACAACCAAGTTGATCCACAAACTAACTTATCTGCACATCAAATACACTGATATCAGATACACTGAGCCTGTCAGGATCTGTTCAGTACCAAGTTGATCCACAGACTAACTGATCTGTACATCAAATACGGCTAAACCACTTGAAAGGTTGCCATGTAACCCCTTAATAGATGCCCCACCAGGATAACTTGGCAAGCTGTAAAGTAGGTTTGGGCATATTTGTTCCGGGATCAGCTAGTTACTTGGTTCTGAACAAGCCCTAAGAGAATCAGATATAATCTGAGTTTGTAAGGATATTACTGTATATACTGGTACATATCCCTTTTTTAACCCAACATGAGCAGCTTCTGTTGTAATTTACTTAAATATAAGTTTTTTTTTTTTTTTTTTTTTAAATTTTTGTAAACCACTTTATCATGATGGGATTATAGTTATAATTATTGATAACAGACAATAAACATGAAGTGATTTGTTCCATATCTGATGAAAATAATAACTTGCTTTTATGTTCATTAATAATAGATTTCAGGGATCAACTTCACAAATGACAAGAGGATAATTTCAGAAATTGATAGAAATAGATTTTAATGCCATGTTTTCCAACAAAGCATTTTCTTTTCCTCTCAAGGTTAAGTTACTCCACACCCAGGCTCTTGATATTGGTATGATGGTCACTTGGGTAACTTTTTAGTTAAATCAGGGTATTTCCCCCATAGCATTTACAAGGATACTTTATGTTGGTCGTCCAGAAGATATATATATATTGGTGTAAGATGGAAACCATTATGACATTTCAAAAGAAGCAGCTACTTTGATGAAGATAAAACTTGCATCTCTCTTCATGGGGAGATTGTGGATGTTAAGAAAAAATGATAGTCTAGAAAAAAGGAAGCATGTAAAGATTTTTCCTCTCTCCATGCAAGACAAGATATATGCATTGAATCTAAGGTTATCGTTTCAGCAGTCGCATTTTGTGTGTATGGAATACATACACATGTGCAACAAAGATCAGCATCTAGACAGCAATTTTGTACAAAAAAAAAGGCTCACCTTTCATCCCAGACTTAGTAGGATAAAACAACTGCAATGCAGTGATAGAACAGCAGATAGATAGATATTTAAACCCTGAGTTGCAGAGATTAATTTTAGACTGTTGCAACATGTGAGATCAAACAAACCCATGCAAGTTGTCAAAAACTGCTAAAACCAATATGTTGTACAATAAAAACCACGGTGGCCTTTAGGGTGCCTTTTAGTGAATATAACTTGGGATAGATAGGAAGTATTGGCACAGTTCTGACATTGGATGAGGAAAACCACAGCAATTCACTTCCCACTTCAGAAACTATCATTTCTCACCAAGCTATCATTTCTCACCGTAGAATTATAGTTTAAATGTATAGTTTGTCAGCATGTGAGTTTGTTTTTGTGTAAAATATGTCCTGGTCCAAGGTTCTGCCTGTTTTCCTGTTGACAGTGACACTATTTTAAAGTCATGTTACTCTGTTCTAAGATGGAGGCCAAGGTTACAAGTAAGTTTATAAACATGAGGAGGGCATAGAGTTTTCAACAAGTTCATACTAGTAAAGAGAAAAGATTAATTGAAGTAAGTTAGGGTCATGAGGTGAAGAAATGACATGGCCAGATTTAAATTAATATCTTCTCAAACTTAAAAAATGATTCATAGGACAAAAATACAAAGTTATCTGGAAAAGCAGCCTCATTGGATTCTTTTTCTTGAATTTCTAGAGTTTTTTATGAGTTTTTTCATTTTTCACATTTTGGCATTTTTGTGTTAAGCGTATGTAATAATTGCATCAAAATTGACAACAGTCCTATTTTGTGCATCATTGTCATTTTTTTCTGCTCTATGTATGAAAATTTGATAGCTTTGCTGCCTTGTTTCAAATAAATTGCAAGTGAAAATTATCTAGAAATGATTTAATAGCCTAAAATTGAGTTTTTTTTTCTCTTACTTGAGATCATCAATTGAGTCATTAATATGTTGTCTTGGTCTGTGTATTTGTAGGATTTGGACAGATCAGGTGACACGGAACCCAAGAAAACAGTGATGACCCCCAAGGCAGACAAGCTGGACACATTCCGATTCTCCATCATCAACTTGGAAGGCAAGTCAACAGTCAATTAGTCCAAGTTCAGGCATACCCTCATACACACATATACATTCAGGCATATCCTCATACACACATATACCCTCAGGCATACCCTCATACACACATATACCCTCAGGAATACCCTCATACACACATATACCCTCAGGCATACCCTCATACACACATATAGGGATTTTTTTCCCCACTTTGAATCAGAAATGTAGAGAGCATGCTTGCATACACAGACATGTATCAACACACACACACACACACATATACACACAAGTATACATACACATGCACATGCTGCACACACACATACACACACACATACACACACACACACATGTGAAAAAAGGAACACAGTGCAGTCATCACTTAACTTTTTTGTTGCTTTGTAGCTATTAAATATTTCACATATATGATAATAATGATAATAATAATATTAATATCTGAATAAACCAGTTGTTTACAATTACAAATTCTGCTATAAGCCTGTTAGCTGTCTAGATCATGTTAGCCTATTGTTTGTGTGTGTTGTTTTCAGAGAACCCAGACTCTGATTTAGATGCTCTGTTAGGAGAGCTGTGTCTACTGGAGACTCAACTGTCTTCTGCTCAAACAGAACTTAGCCACTCTCTGGAAACAGCTCAGCCAACTAAACACACACAGGAAAGTAAGGTGACAGTGGACTTTGATCAGCTCTTCAACTCCACTCAAGCTGAATTAGCAGAGCTGGACTCTCAGTTAGAAAGCTTGACGTCAAAACCCACTGGACAATCAGAAACTAATGAGAACTTATCTGACCAATCACAGCATTGTGTGAAGAATAATGGACATGTCGGCCAAACACATGTAGAACATATCTCTAGCCCTAAAAAGGAGGGCAGCCAATCGGGGGCTAAGTTACTATACAGTTCAGGACAAAAAGGAAGTAGTCACTATGTGAGTAGCGAACAAGAAAACAGTGGTGGTGATGGAGACTCTATTTGGGAACCGCAAACGCCTTCAACACTCACGCTTCCTGTGTCGCCAGTCTCATCTGTTACCATGGCAACAGGTCAGCCTATCAGAGTCAGCGTATCATCTGAGGTGGAGAAGAAAGCAGAAGAGCGAGATTCTGTATTTTCTGAGGTGACGCCTTCCAATTCTAATACATCCATGGCGACCATGAGTAGTGGGTCCTCGGGTGTTCAGGTCACTCCAACAGAGGTTTGTTCTACTTTGTTGTCTTCCATTGGTACTCTTCTGATAGAGATTTATTACTTATGGTAATTACTCAATCTTTTCAATGGACAAAAAATATCAAACTTCAGATGTAATTTTATAATCACAAAATTATATTTGTACATAGCATTTGTGGTGCTTTACTACCTAGGATAGATTTATAAAGTGGCCTGCTTTTTAATTTTGTTGCAAACATTCAATCTGTCTAGTTCTAAGAAATCATGACTTAAAAAATACAGTATTGGTCCTTGAAATTTACAATTTTCTCCCCATTGAAGAGATCTAGTAATTTCCATATATAATGCATGGAAAATGGATATCGGTTAAACCTTCTTATAATAACTTAATGTGAATGTTATAAAGTACAAAATGACATCAAGTAATCATAAGCTGGCTCCATGTAAGACTCTCTGAAGATGACATAGAGGCTGGATAGTGGAGTGCTGGTCACATGATCTCATTCCGTGCTAGAAGGTCATTACTGTGTAATTGGAAGTAAATCAAATATTATTTGAGTTATGATTAAATGATGTCATTTTGATGATACTTGTCAGGCATTGTGCATCTTTGATAATTATGTTTATTTCTTGATTTGTTCTTCATATTTGCTAGATGTTGTAATTTTTAGTTCTTGTAGCTCACTTTTATTTGGCTATCAGAATGAATGTCTTAATGATTTTTACAAATTTAATAATTTGTCTTATTTCAAGTATGGTTCAAGTTTCTGCATGTATCAATCAGTTTTGGTTTGTATTTTTCACACAGAACAGCTGACTTATAATGTGACTTATATACTGAATTTTATATCCAGAAAGAATGTTTGGGACATTTATTACCAGTGATTGGCCTAAAATATTTATATTAATTTTTAATTTAACAGTTGGAAATGCATAATTAATATTAAAATGCTAACACAAAAAGCCAAGTCTACCCTCAGCAGTTGTGTGTGTGAACTGTAGGGAATTTATTCATTGTGATATTTTGCATGTCTTTCTAACTGTCCTATTGTCTTGCTCTTAACTTGACCTTGATCTAGTTTCTCTGCATGCAAGCCTGTTTGCCACATTGGAGTTGACAAGAAATAAATAACAAATCTTGTCCACAATTCGAGAGGGAGTCAGATCTGAAATAGAATATTGCATTCAACCTGTTACCTCATGCACCTAGAAGTACAATATCAGTCCAACCTGTCTACACTACAACTGTACTCATGTGTTCTATCATAAGGTCACAGTAACAGTGTACTGAATACAAGTATAATATCAGTTCAACCTGTCTACACTACAACTGTACTCATATGTTCTATCATAAGGTCACAGTAACAGTGTACTGAATACAAGTATAATATCAGTCCAACCTGTCTACACTACAACTGTACTCATGTGTTCTATCATAAGGTCACAGTAACAGTGTACTGGGTAAAAGTTATAATACTCCCCATTGTTTAAGAGATGATTCATTAGATTAAGATGGTTAAAAAAAGCATTAACATGCAACATATTGTGATCTTTAATTGCTTCAAGGCTGATTCAGAATAAAGAAAAAAGCTACATAGATATGCCATTTTCAGTCTTGGTATTTCACTTGTTTAGATTAAATGAGGAGCTCAAAACTTTTTTAATTGTATTATATTTGAATGGTACACAAGGGGACATTTATTTTCATTTGTAATTCTAAATATTTTAGAAATCAAGAATCAAGTCAAGAAATATTTATTCGTCTATCAATCCGTCTTTACTAGATCAATCTTCATTAATTGATCTAAATTTGATTTCAGTTTTACTTAAGATTTAATATATAGCATATTTGAAGTATGAGAAGTTGTCAGTGTGGACATGGGCCCCAGCTCTATTGAGATGACAGGTTTGTGTGTATTCTAAAGTTGTCAGTGTGGACATGGGCCCCAGCTCTATTGAGATCACAGGCTTGTGTGTATTCTAAAGTTGTCAGTGTGGACATGGGCCCTAGCTCTATTGAGATGACAGGCTTGTGTGTATTCTAAAGTTGTCAGTGTGGACATGGGCCCCAGCTCTATTGAGATGACAGGCTTGTGTGTATTCTAAAGTTGTCAGTGTGGACATGGGCCCTAGCTCTATTGAGATGACAGGCTTGTGTGTATTCTAAAGTTGTCAGTGTGGACATGGGCCCCAGCTCTATTGAGATCACAGGCTTGTGTGTATTCTAAAGTTGTCAGTGTGGACATGGGCCCCAGCTCTATTGAGATGACAGGCTTGTGTGTATTCTAAAGTTGTCAGTGTGGACATGGGCCCTAGCTCTATTGAGATGACAGGCTTGTGTGTATTCTAAAGTTGTCAGTGTGGACATGGGCCCCAGCTCTATTGAGATCACAGGCTTGTGTGTATTCTAAAGTTGTCAGTGTGGACATGGGCCCCAGCTCTATTGAGATGACAGGCTTGTGTGTATTCTAAAGTTGTCAGTGTGGACATGGGCCCTAGCTCTATTGAGATGACAGGCTTGTGTGTATTCTAACTCCTTCCACAATATTTACAGTAATGGCTCTATCATTTCAATAGGAAAAATTATCAATTTTTCAGATACATGATTTTGGAATCATTAAAAATGAATTTTTATGGAATATTTTGGTGTTTTGACTATTTAGAACTAATAGGTAGTCTGCTTTTCAATTGTGTTGCTATCACTCAATTAGAATTTTCTAATTTTAGGAATTTATTACTTAAAAAATACAGAATCTGACAAATTCACAATTTTCTGTATTGAAAAGATGGAGTCATTATGGTGTTCTAATTCCTTCCACAGTATCCTGCTTCTAACTGTCCTATCTTATCATTTGTGCTTTCCATGTGATTGCTTTCTACACTAGGTGTCACTGTGTATTGATGCGATGATGCATGATCCCAATGTGCGTGCACGACTTGATAGCGTGCAGGAAGAATTGAAGCAAGCAAACGTCCCCCCAGTAAGTGCATGGTACACACCACTGCAGTTCACCTTGACGCGGTGCTGTATTTTAGTACTTAATATAATCCATTACACCTACTGTAACATAATGATATGGTGCTGTATTGTAGTAGTATAATCCATTACACCTACACAAGTAGTGAATTTATGACAAGTTATATGTATTGATAGAATATATGCATATTAAGTTTACTGCAAGGTCTAACCATAATACTATGTATTACTTTATTTCCCGAATACACAGCATAAATAAATATTTTAATAAATGGATAGCTGATTAGATAGAGAAATTATTAATTTGATATTATGTAAAGAAAGAAAGAAAGAAAGAAAGAAAGAAAGAAAGAGATAGATAGATAGATAGATAGATAGATAGATAGATAGATAGATAGATAGATAGATGAATATTGAAAGATGGTTAATAAATGATTTCAACTGTGCTATGTGCAGTTTTTTTATATGGCAGAACATTTTTCTTGTTTTCTAAGAAAGATAAATATTTTCAGTACTAAATATTCAAAGTTTGAGGTAAAGGCTGCTAAGGCAGGTTTTCTGCCTGGTCATCATAAATCTGTCAGGGGTCTTTTATGAAGTTTTATCCCAGCTAGGAGAGACCTCTGGTGGAGAAACCTTGGAGGGAGCATTGGTATACAGAGGGTTTCTTTAGGACAGTTCACACTGGACTCTTTTGGACCATAAATGAGTTCACACTGGACTCTTTTGGACCATAAATCAGTTAGATAGGTACTGGAAGGTGGTGGTAGTGATGTATCAGGCATGTGACATTCTAGTACACAGTGGGGTCTCTTGGTGATCTTGCAGTCTGATGATGCCTTTAGACCTAAATTAAGTCCAGAATGTAGTGTTTGTCTCAACAGGTCTTTGATAATGTGGTGATGGGTTATAAAGAAGCTAGACAGTCCTGAGAGTAACTGCACCCAAGATTTCCTTAATCAGACATCAGATGTTCAGTTTTTCTGCCAAACAGAGTTTTATTGCATTTTATGCCAACATTAGAGCAGTGCTGTATCCCAGCTGATGGAAAGATGAACTGCTGCTCTCTAAATTACCAACTTAAACTCATCACTTATATTTTATAAAAGCACAGTTTATTTGTAACAATTAACTTACAGGGTAACCTAATTATTCATAATTTATTAATTGAAATGTGACGATGCATTAAATAAGTAATGGGTAGGGTTTGGTTATGACTAAGTGAAGAAGCTTGAAGATGTTTCATTTAAAGATGTGGTTCAGAGTAAAGCAGTGGGTGTAATATTTCAGAATATCCTGGTACACATGGTTTTACATATATAACAAAGATCACAACAAATATATATACTAGTTGGTTAAGGAATCCATACTTGGTTTATAATTAGTACCACCAGCGTGTACGCTGGCGGTACTCATGGTTTTAGTCCCGGCCCATCTCGTCCGGCTCCGCCGGCTCCTGCGGCTCCGCCGGCTCCGTTGGCTCCGTAAGCTCCGCCGGCTCCGCGTACTGGCGCCGGATACAAGTCACCGTTACCGCTTCTTCTCCTAGACCGCAAGGACCCCTGTTCCCATCTCTTGGATTTAGGTCACATATAACCTCAACTTGAACCCCCAAGTTTTTTTGTCTCAGTCNTTCACTTCTGAAGTATACATGATCCATTTAAACAAGGTTATGGTAAAAACATGGTCACATCTTTTATGAAGTCACATGTCTTTAAATAATGTCCATGTCTGTCCATGTGTTAACTAGTGTACATATATGTTTATTTCAGGCAGAACAAGCTGCTAGGCTGAAGTCAGAGAAGATCAAGATAGCTCTGGAGAAGATAAAGGAAGCCAGTGTGAAAAAGGTACACAGTGTTCTGAATTCAAACTTGGCATTTCTAAGGAGATGGTGAAATAAATCAAAACCTGTTCATCTCATGGCTCTAGTTGATGTAGCAGAAAACACTAGAGAGAACTTAGAATTTACAACTTAAGTCTATATGGGTACTAAATACAAAGAGAGCTGTAAACCGTGCTATTTCTTGTGCGTGGTCTATACAGTCAGTTTTAGGCTGCAACTGGCTGGAGACAGTCTCTGGTTTGATTGAATCAGTTTGGTTCAGTATGTCAATATCAATTACTGGTCCCATGTATTCCATGTGAGTGAGCTATGTGGCTGGTTGATATCCTTTATCTCTCCCAAACGCTATGCAGTGTATCCACCACAATATTTAATTACTCTATATCTAAACAATTCAAATGTGCTAACTATCATTACAGTAATTACCTGATCTATTCAATGGAGTGTATTGTGTATTTTACAGATACTGCATTTTTAAGTCATAATATCTTAAAATTAGAACCTTTCTATTGAGTGGTAACAACAACACTGAAAAACAGCCTAGAATTCTATTCTATGCAGTAAAAGCAACACAAATTCTGTATAATAATATAATTTTAGTGATAATTAAATTATTTATCTAAAAGTTTGATAATGTTTGCCATATGAAAAGATAAAGTAAAACTATATTTCCACTGTTGTCCCATTTCAGCTGTTTGTCCAGGCCCATGCAGCAGATGGCAGCAGCAAGACCATTCTGGTGGATGAGAAGATGACTTGTGGTCAGGTGGTCAACATGCTGATAGCCAAGAACCACTGTAAACCTAATCTTAACTGGGCAGTGGTGGAGAGAATGCCAGACCTGCTCATGGGTCAGTCTCTCTCTCTCTCTCTTTCTCTCTCTCTCTCTCTCAGTCTATCAAAGTGTTTAATTTATGTTTTTGTTTATTTTTTGTTTGTTTTGTTTTTTGTGTTTTGTAAAAATGAGAAGAGATAACTAGTCAGAGGTCAGATTTTATGAAATAAGAAAATGTCAGGAATATGATAACTGACCTTACCTGAGCCAGGTGTAGGCAGAGAAGATGTCCTATCTTCCTGCTGTGAGAGTGTTAAAACAAAGATGTCTCCCCTGTTTCCTTAACAACTGACTGTTATAAACAGTGATTGGTACCAAGAAAATGTTATAATACTGTGTATGTTGGTCTTCAGAGCGGCTCCTGGAGGATCACTACTTGCTGGTGGAGCACCTATTGTCTTGGTCCAGAGACTCCAAGAATAAACTGATGTTCTTACAGAGGACAGATAAATATGAGTTGTTCAGACACCCAGAGGTAACTAAAGCTGACCAGCTATCATATGTCATATCACATAATAGGTTTATAATTCTGGTAACTAAGGCTGACCAGCTACCATATGTCATATCACATAATAAGTTTATAATTCTGGTAACTAAGGCTGACCAGCTACCATATGTCATATCACATAATAGGTTTATAATTCTGGTAACTAAGGCTGACCAGCTAGCATATGTCATATCACATAATAGGTTTATAATTCTGGTAACTAAGGCTGACCAGCTATCATATGTCATATCACATAATAGGTTTATAATTCTGCTAACTAAGGCTGACCAGCTATCATATGTCATATCACATAATAGGTTTATAATTCTGGTAACTAAGGCTGACCAGCTACCATATGTCATATGTCATCAGTCCATCACGTAGTAGTTTTATATTTCTGGAAAACATACTAAATTATTTTGCAAAGAAAATTATCAGCTATGTTATTCACTTTAAGTTATAATAATTCTTCAGAAATATACATCTTCTAATTTTGCTTAAATCAGAGTTATTACCACTGTGAGAGTCTAATATTTTGATGACCTACAATACTCCTCCATAGCTTTATGTGTTGTTGTTAGGAATGATAATATTTCAATGACTTGCAGGACACCGTTATCTTAGAAATTAAAGCTATATTTAAATGTTATAATTGTAATTATAATAAAAAGATGGCAAAATTGTAGCTGTTGTTGGAAGAACCTATTTTATAATAGCTAAATACCTTGTAATTTTTGTGTAACTGTTTCAGGACTTCCTGCTGGTAGGTACAGCCCAGGCACAGAGCTGCTCACTGGATGAAAAAGGCAGGATTAACTTGATAAAGGTATCTTATGATCAACATTAATATGGAATGGGGTTATGACTGGTTGTTGAAGTTACGTATCTTAAAGATAGAAGCCAATTTTTTTAAATCAATATTTTCAGTGCAAAGATATAAAAACAAACAGGAACCAACCTTGAAAGTCACAAGTGATCTTTACAATGACTTTGTCATATTACTCAGAAACCAGTAATAAATAAATATATAATGACAATTATGGTATAATATGGTTTTGCATCATCTCTTACTTTAGGAATTCTTGTCAGATTCCACGGGTACCAAAGTTCCTGAGATGGAAGGAATGATGTATATCAAGGCAGAAGGCAAAAAAGTTTGGAGGAAACACTTCTGTATCCTGAGGTCCTCTGGTATATATGTCAACTCCAAGGGAAAGAGTAAGGTTAGTTTACATTGTGTTAGCTGTGACAGCAGAAAATTATGTAAATGATGACATTCGATGATTGTGTTAGATGTGAGTGAAAGTACATTGTGTTAGATGTGACAGCACATTGTGTTAGCTGTGGCAGTACATTATAATAGCTGTGACAGTACATAATGTTAAGGTGTTAAATGTGATAATTATGATGTAAGGTTGTGTTAGGTGTGCCAACAAATTGTGTAAGCTGTTCTTCTCTGTTTGGTTTCAGTCCTCCAAGGACCTGGTATGTTTGTGCCAGTTTGAGTATGTTGAGCTGTACACAGGACTGGACTGGAAGAAGAAGTACAGAGCTCCCACAGAGTTTGGGTTTGCTCTCAAGGTGAGGCATCAGATTGCAGTGTTTATATTTAATGAGTAAGGAGATATCTACAAGCTAGTTATAGAACTGCCCTGTGAATACATATGATTACATCAGACTGCAGATATTCTACTTCAAAAGTGTTTATATTTAATGAGTAAGGAGATGTCTCCAAGTGAACATCAATCATACTTATTCACAGGGCAGTTCTATAACTAGCTTGATGATATTACATTAATACGACATTATATTTGATGTTCACTTGAAGTGATAATATTTTACATACAAAATGATATACAGACACTTACATACTACATTATATTTGATGTTCACTTGGAGTGATAATATTTTACATACAAAATGATATACAGACACTAACTACATTATATTTGATGTTCACTTGGAGTGATAACATTTTACATACAAAATGATGTACAGACACTTACATACTACATTATATTTGAGAAATCAATATCCTTATGTGTAAATAATATGTATATTCACCCGTTTTCTTCAATAAACCTTTAATTTAAATTTAAATTATTTTGAAATGTTGTTTTTTTTTTTGTTTTTTTTTTTTTTTTTTTGGTTGTTTTTCTAATAAATAGTATTGTACATCAATTTTCCAACTCTTAGCTTAATATTTCAGCATCCCCAGATTCAGAAGAAATGTAAATATATCAAATATCTCTGCACAGAGGATGCAGAGACCTTAGTACGGTGGATGACAGCTATCAGGATTGCCAAGGTTAGGCCTAGGCTAGGATGATGCTGTGGTTGAGATGGTTGATTGTTTTAGATGTGACTGAACAGAATGTGCTAGCTGTGCTTGTGTTAGATATCACTGTCCTTAATGTGACAGTGGTAACTGCTTGTGGTGGGACTGTTTTGAATGTATAAGCTGTGCTATGTTGACTGTAACTGCTCTTAATGTGACAGTGGAATGCTTGTGGTGGGACCGTTTTGAATGTATAAGTTGTGCTGTGTTGACTGTAACTTTTCTGAATATGTTTACTGAGTTGCTTGGCAATTGTGACTGAATAAATTATTATTCCTGTTATTTTATTTTTGTGATTTAACAGAAAAGTAGACTGTAATCACTAACTGATATGATTACATGTAAAGGTAAGTTTTTTCTTCAGATCTAATGCTATCATTATTTGAATATTTTCAGTTTGGCAAACAGCTCCTGCTGAATTACAACCAGTCTGTGTCAGAGTTCAGAGACTGGAATTCCAAACTGCTGGAACTCACACCAGGCAACTACATGTTACAGCAGGTAAAGAATGAAGAGCAGAGACTTCAGGAGATCTACCAGCAGCCAGGCACTCTCCTTCGCAGTCACCGTGACAGCATCAGCTCAAAATCCTCTTCAGATTCCTCACGCTCCTCATCTAGTCATGGTAGTCATGGTGATCGAGGATCATCTTCTATGTCCTGGACGGCCTCCAGTCCCCGTTCAAGTGTCCAGTATGACCAGAGGATTTCAGCCCCGGTCAGTGTCCAGTACAGTGGTCAGAATTTAATGGACATTGAGCGGGGGTCAGTGCACATTGAAGGTGGTCCTGTGAAGCGTGACTCACATAGCAGGACATATAGTGACAGTGACCAGGCTCAGAGTGAGTTAAGAACAAGTAGTGCTAGGATTCCTGTGACCACTGACACCACAAGGCATCTCAATAACGTTAGTGGGGCAGCCAACAGATTACAACAGCAACATACCAGCCACCAGGAGGAGCCAGTGACACCAGACTTCCCGCCACCGCCTCCTGACCTTAGTCTTCCATACATAGAGGGAGGATTGCCCACAGCGCCCAGCATGGATGAGCTCCCACCCCCACCACCCCCACCACCACCACCCCTGGCCACGGAGGCTGCAGGAGGGACAAGAACATCCATTCATAGTCATTTAAAGTCACAGCCCAAGCTTGCCCTCATAGCTGAGCTGAAGAAGAAATCTCCAAAAAGCAGCCCCGATTCTTCACCTCTTGGTTCAACTCATTCTTCTCCCAGGGGTTCACGTCAGGATGTTTCCACGAGGATAGGAGGAGCCACTTTACAAGAGGAGCGCGTGGTTCACCAATCAGGAGAGGCAGAGGCTGCTAGCCCAGGCCAGCCTCCACCAGTGGCTAAGAAACCCAAGGGAAAGGTGCCTCCCCCTGCTCCTGTCAGGAGAGATATCTCACCAGTGCCACCTAGCAGTGAGCAGTCAGACCAGGGAAAACCCCCGCCACCTGTCCTGCCTAAACCTAAACCCAAGGTGGCAGCAGGGGGTGGTGGAGAACCCCCTCAGTGTGGTCAGTCCTCTGTCCAGTCTGACACCAAACCACCACCCCCTGTAGCAGCCAAGGCAGCCCTCAACTCTCCCTTCATGGCTGACCTGAAGAGTGCCTTAGCACGGTCTGCTGCTGCTGCTGCTGGGAAATACCCTGGGGACAGAGTACAGACCCTGGGTAGCAGACCCCCAGCAGGGGAGGGACACAGCAATATGGAGGACCTTCCACCACCTCCACCTGAACTGCTCCACCAGTCACCTACCCCAGGGAAGAAGAAGCCACCACCCCCACCCAAGAGGAGTGAGAAAACACAGTTGTCTTAGTTATTACAGTGTCCTTGCCTCCTCTTTGAACTCTGAGCAGATAATTTCAGCAGGTGTCATAGTGACTACAGTGTCCGTGTCTCATCTTTGACCTGTGAGCAGTGTTTCAACAGTTGTCCTAGTGGATACACGGTGTCCGTGTCTCATCTTTGACCTGTGAGCAGGGTTTCAACAGTTGTCCTAGTGGATACACGGTGTCCGTGTCTCATCTTTGACCTGTGAGCAGGGTTTCAACAGTTGTCCTAGTGGATACACGGTGTCCGTGTCTCATCTTTGACCTGTGAGCAGGGTTTCAACAGTTGTCCTAGTGGATACACGGTGTCCGTGTCTCATCTTTGACCTGTGAGCAGGGTTTCAACAGTTGTCCTAGTGGATACACGGTGTCCGTGTCTCATCTTTGACCTGTGAGCAGGGTTTCAACAGTTGTCCTAGTGGATACACGGTGTCCGTGTCTCATCTTTGACCTGTGAGCAGGGTTTCAACAGTTGTCCTAGTGGATACACGGTGTCCGTGTCTCATCTTTGACCTGTGAGCAGGGTTTCAACAGTTGTCCTAGTGGATACACGGTGTCCGTGTCTCATCTTTGACCTGTGAGCAGGGTTTCAACAGTTGTCCTAGTGGATACACGGTGCCCTTGTCTCCTGTCTGTCATTTGAACTCTGAGCAGAGTTTTTCAGTGGCTGTTTTCACTTAGACTGCTTGTTAACAATTTACTTTTCAGCTTGCCTGTGTTCAATTGCATATATTGCTAAGATACCATAGAACAAGGTAACAACAATTTAATGTGATTAATTCTACTATCCAGCAACTTCTTTATAAAAGGGAAAGTATTTATTCTTTTCACTTTGAATGTGAGTTATTGAGAGAAAAACTTATCACTTCCATTCATATAACTACTTTATCATTGGCAAGGGAAGATCAGTAAAGCATTTGGAATGTAATAGTAGAACACTTCTTGAATTAAGAGGTGGGGATCACAGTTTTTATCATGATATTAAAATTTGCTTTGTATCCTTAAAAACTAAAATAGTTTTGGATATGTATTTCAAGGAGATGGTGGTTATTTCTGCCCTTTTGAAGACAAACTTTATCTTTATTAACATGGTATTCTGTATGCTATGATCTCTTTATCATGCCAGGTATGTGGATGCTCCTCCTTATATTGTAAGAAAGATTATACTGTTGGAGTTGGTTTTTTAAAACCTAAAATACAGACACTGTAATCCTTTTTATTTAAAAATAAGACCGGATATAACACTTCTTTTAATAATGGAATGCCCTAAGCATTCCATTGAAAACTTGAACTGAAAACTGCTGAAATGTAAGACAAGCTTGAAACTTGTCAGTCCTGTCTTGAACACAGTGCCACCTATAGATGATATTATTGTGTATGATGCAGTGCCGTAGCTCTCCCCACAAAAATGGTGATTTCTGCCAGGGCAGGACAGGCCTTGGCACTCATTGCAGCTTTATTGGTGAATTACTGACAAGACTAGGAAAGCTTTAACATCCCTTTAACTAAAATGAGAACTTTTTATCAAGAAGCCATATCAGTCTTGCCCACTATAAGAATTAATCTATCAATTTTTTTGTCACAGGGACAGTTCCTTGTGTGCGGAAACATTTATACTACTTTTATATACAGTGCTAACTAACTCAAAGTATTGCCATATTTACCTGACTGATTTTTTTTTGTGTATCTAACTTTGATATATATTTTCATCAACTTGTGCCATAGATACTAAATAATGCATGGGAGTGACTGAATTGTCAGCCAAAAGACGTATCATGATACAGAATCAGATATCCAGCTTTAGCATTTTATTTTTAGTTGAATTGTATTACAATATTGTCTGTTTACTGCCTGGAATTTTTTGATATATGTTTTTTTATTATTATTATTATTTTGAAGTAATGAAGAAGTAGGTGGTCAAAGTTTTTTATACGTTTTGCTTTCTGAGCATAAGCTCAACTTGAGTCTTCATCTTTTCTCAGTTCAAAAGGCAGTAGGTACCAGACTGGTAGTTAGTATGGGGCTGGCTGGCTAACTGTTTTCCTGAACTTACTTCAAACTTGTCAACTCCGGAACCAGCTTGTATTTCTTTATAATCTGTCTTTTTGCATTTACATTAAACTTAACTGCCATTATAAGAAACCTTTTTATGGTTTATCTCAGTGAGACTGCTGATGTGTTCTTCTAACCTTTAAATTCTCTACTCTGCTGCTTGAATATACCATGTCTCAGAGGAGGTGTAGTATGAAGGTCTCTGAATGATTCTTTTTAATACAACACTCATACCACTAATAACTGACACTTTTGAACTTTTTATGTTCAAGGCTTAGTACTAGCTGGCTAAGTTTTTTCTAAAATATTCATTGTTAGTTGGTTTATTGTACAATGTAGACCAGTGTATTTGAAATACTCAAAGTATTATGTTTTAGTAGTATTGTAACATATCAGTGTGTTTTTAAGACTAGGATATACATACATCCTATGTTATATCATCACTGGACATTCACATTACAGCTTGTCTTATCAGTGTTCTTTTTGCCATATTTCTATCTTGTGTAATGTTCAGAGATGTTATTTTAAAGCTGATATTAGCTCACAGTCTGTAATAAAACTGTACTAAGATGGGATTTTAATAGGATGAAGACAGATAGTAAAAAGACTGGAGTGATTAATTATCACAATTGTTTTAAGTTTAAAGAAATTCATTTTTACATCAAAATACTAAATTGGGGATTTCCATAGAGATGTCAAGCTCCATTTATTGGTATAAGTAGGGAATACAGGGTGAGCAGCGTACAGTAAATTAAGTCGACAGTTTCTGTATACCATTGAAGTAATTCACAATAGTTTCTTTTTTTCGGGGAAAGTGTTTTTAGCTTGACCCGAATCTGATGGCAATAGAGTGATCTTTTCGCTTAACTTACTAATGTGCAATAAACTGCGCCAAGATGTGATTAGTCGTTAACGATATCTTGATTTTTGTACAGTGTAATTTTTTATTTACTTTTAGTTTGAAATTGATTATAATATCGAGCAATTGCTTGTTTGTGACTTAGGTAAAATGATAGTGTGAAAGTCGATCTGTGCTTGAAGTCGAGAAATGAGACCACACCGTGATACGTCTGTATACGAGATCTGTCTTTTAGGAAAAGATGACGATCAGATCGCACTTACTGAATGCAATTTAATATCTATGATTTGTCTGTGTTAATAGTTTAAAATCTTAAATCATCATTTAATGGGCATCTTTAATACCCCTGTGGATGTTTATTGTACATTTTAAGGTTACTGTAGAAAAGCGTAGTCTAGTTTTCTACTAGTGTACATTGAAAGCTATACACAGAGCAGATCTAACCTATAGACCCCTAGTATGCCGTGTACGGTATACATGTACATGCTAGGTCTTATATAGAAATAATGTCATGATGCTACACTCTAGGTGCTTCGCGCGTGTATAAACCAAGATTTATGAATAAAATAATTCCTAAAGGTTCTTGTGTTCTGTTGTAATCTTGATCTCAGAATATTTGATATCATATTTAAGTGTACTCTGTCCTTGTTTTCTATGATTTTGGGATGGTGAGTAAATTATTCCTTTTCTCACCTGATATCCTAGATCGGGCAGATTGGTCAGGCGGTAGATTAGTAAAATACGTGAATGTGATAGCTTTACTTTGAAGTAGATCTATCAGTATTTTAGAAGTCTCTTGCGCTGCGTCACGTCGGCCAAACTATTTATAAAAGTCGGATTGACGTCGCTGTGTATTACGTCAGATAAACTTTGAAGGACAGAGTGTGGCGTCACTGTCATAATATTCTTCGCCTGCAAGTCAACCCCTGCTAACTCCACATGTCATCTTAAAGAATCCATGATCGGTTGAGGTTTCTGTCTTATTTACCCCGAAATATCTCGAACGGTTCCTTTCCAAATTACATGCCCGAAGAACTTGACACATATCTTGTTAAGTAAATGATTTTGATGGCATTGTTCAGTAACCAATCGGGAACGTCGTTTTGGTTGCCAGGACGACGCTTCGCATAAAAAATCCAGCCGACAAGAAGAAACACCGTACAAGTCGGCTGGAAAGTTTGCCTTCTAAGAACAAGATGGAAGGTCAATGAAAAAAGTTCATAATGGCAAAAAGAGGCGAAGAAAACCGAGCAGATGAACACCTCAAAGACAAAGGATATATTCTTGGGGACGTTTTAGGTGAAGGGTCCTATGCGAAAGTCCGGAACGCTTATAGTAGAAATCATAACTGCCGTGCGGCAGTGAAAATCATCAACAAACGTAAAGCACCTCGAAATTTTGTGGTCCGTTTTCTGTCCCGTGAACTGGAGATTATACAAAAGCTTGACCACCCCAACATTATAAAGGTGTTCGACGTCATAGAGCTAGGGCCGAAGGTAAATTCGTCCGAATAAAAACACCATGTCATAATATCTATATCTGTTCGCTTTCAATAATAAGATAAAATTAGTACTCCGGAACTGAGGAAAAGACTACGTCACCTTTTTCTCCTATATCAATTGTTTTCTCACAAATGTCATGAAAATAAAGGTCAATATACATGTATGAATGTCGCTAGAGGTGAAGCATTCTTAAGACGATCATTATGATCTGTGTAATTGTAAAAAGTCAGCACATAGTGAGCGGATGTTAAAATGTCAATACTTAATTTTTTTTCACAAATTGTTGATACTTGATTATTGGTCAACCCTGAAAATTTCAAGTTTTAAAGTGAAACAGTTTTGATATTATCATGAAGTAAAAAACACTTTGAAAAGCTCGGCGTTTGAGCATTCGGCACCCATAGGCTTTTTTTTCGGTCTTTCAAAATTAAGGAATGTACAGTCATAAAATTATCAGTATTTAAAAAAAAATTCCTAAATGTGCCAATGAAGTTATTGACCTTTAAAATTAATAAGTTTTTTTTTTTTTTTTTGCCACCTCATACATGTATTTGTCATGATTGAGGTTATGTTTCAATAAAATTCTCTTATAATTTCAATAGATACTGACACCTCTATCTTCAGAGCTGCCCATGACACGTCGTTTAGTTACTTGCAGTAACTCTAAATAGAAATCATGTTTCCAGTAGTTTTAAAAGGAGCGATATCTCTGAGTTTTAGGTGTACATATGTATGGAGATCGCGGGCCACGGAGACCTGTTGGAATACATTCGGCTACGAGGCTCGGTGCCGGACGAAACTGCAAAACTCATGTTTCTAGAATTTGTAGAGGCCGTAGATTATTTGCATAGTAATAACTTGACGCACAGGTTGGTAGAAGGATATGTTTTCTAGACGTTTCACGTTACAGATGAAGTGAGCAATCGACAATGTAGTGACCAACACTAATCATTTTTAGAGACACTCCTTAATCGTTTGAATGGTAGATAATTGCATGAAATAAATATAATAACTGAAAAATGAGAAGTTTAACTTTTCTTCAGGGATCTTAAATGTGAGAATATTCTGATTGACACCCGCAACAACATCAAGCTGTCTGACTTCGGCTTTGCTCGGACTTTTACTGAAGGCGAGTTCAGCCGGACTTTCTGCGGCAGTGCTGCATACGCCGCCCCAGAGATACTACAGGGACACCCGTATAACATGCCGGCCTATGATATATGGAGTATGGGAGTCGTTTTATATATCATGGTAAAATACTAGCATCTCTCTCTCTCTCTCTCTCTGTCTCTGTCTCTCCCCTCTGCATCTTTAAGGAAACGTACTTTATATTGTTGGACGTTCACCTCAGTATTCTCATGCGATGATAACAAATATTAAGGAAAGCCCCAATTAATTAGATATATGTTTACAAATATTGGAAACCGACTTTCTTCAGGTAACGGGCTCCATGCCGTACGACGATTCCAGCGTCAGACGTATGATCAAGGAACAGCTGGAGAGACGCGTGAGGTTCCCTAGGGGTGCTCGCGTTGCGCCCCCCTGCAGGAGCCTTATTCATCACATGCTAACTGCTGACGTCACACAGCGTGCTACGACACAAGACATTCTCGCCAGTGATTGGTTGAAAGATGTCCGATCTCCAAAAAAAGATAAACCAGTGGAATAGTAATTATTTTATGTATAGCCAGGATGTAATTTCAAAGTCAGGAATGCTTGAAGCAACTCTTTCTTAGTGGGATTTTTGTTAAACTAAAAAAAGTTCAACAAAAGTGTCTTTTAATGAAAACTCTGGAAAATGGTTTTCAACGAAACCTGTTTCTTTTAGGTGACCTGAAAATGGCTTGTGAAAGATAAGTGTCGGAATGTAATCTATCTTGTGAGTGCAAGGAAAATAAGCCGGCAGAAAATCCTGTTTCTTCCTCATATTTTTTGTCACACATTCAAGCAAACAAAATCTAACTGTAAAGGAACTAATTCAATAATGTCATAATTTACTAGACTAAATAATCATTTTGTTGTAACAAATGAATCGAAAGAAGTATTTAATGTTTTCTATGAAAATGATGAGTGCGCTCAAGACATGCAAAAACAGCTTTTGTGTTTCCTTAATGAACAGAAGTAAACGTACTTAGACATATACTCATGATATTTGATGAAGGCTTAGAGCTACTGTTTCAAGAAAAGAACACTGATGTCCGTATTTCATCTTCATCTGGAGCTATCATTGATGGTAAAGTGTTTCAGACTTATCTTATCGCATGAATAAACGCAGAAAGGTTGCCACGCCCCCTCCGTTGCTATGACCGTACCGTAAAAAAACTCGAAAACTTTCTTGAAGTGGATATATTGTATTTCGCTGCAGAAAAACTGTTGAAAACTGATAGAAACTGATACTGATGTGAGCTAAAACTGAATCAAACTGATTTAAACATAAAACAATATGGTCCGAGGAGACCCGTGTTGCTGAACTGAAAATGTGAGGGCGGAGTTGACTTTTATACCTGTGTGTCATGTGACATATGAACACATCTCACTATGATGTACTCTAACCTGTAATTACTGAACTTTTATACCTGTGTGTCATGTGACATATGAACACATCTCACTATGATGTACTCTAACCTGTAATTACTGCACGTGCTGCAGTTACACGCTCCCTCGCGCGCACGTGTGTGTGTGTGTGTGTGTGTGTGTGTGTGTGTGTTCGTGCGTGCGTTCGTGTGAGGAGAGAGAGAGAGAGAGAATGGAAGTATTTTACAGTTAACAGTTAAATATAACTTTAATTTCCGAGGCTGACAAATGCGTGATCATGACTGATAACAATCGGAGTCCTTTTAATGTGCTTTGGACATACATGTCAATAGATACGCACACATTCTGAAGAATGCCCTTCGCTGGACATTTAATATAATGCGAATGCGATTATAGTATCACTTTTGTTACCATAATTTTCAAGCTTGCATTATGTGTTTAGATTCATAGGAAGTAAAACAGACTCGGTTCGAAAATCCCAAAAAAATCTGGAAGCGGTGTAGCTAACCTTACATGACTGCCCTATATTGTCAGATTGATAATGTTTATTGAACTTTGCGATAGTACTGCAATTTCGAATTGATAAATAAATAAATAATGTTATAATATATTTCAATAATGCATTTGTGCACAAGCCAACTTCTATTGCACTATCAAGTAGACTTTACAAAAAAGTGACAAGTAACTGGACCAGCTTGCCTAAAACATATACGTCACAAATTACGGGTTTCAATAAAAGTTGATCTACTGATACGAGTTTGTGTTAGTAATATTATATAGGAAACAAACGTGATATAATAGCTATTTAAGAACTATTTCCCAACACATGACAGTCTATTCGCTCATGTCTTCGCTAATGTCAACAGTAGTCGCCCTTTAACTCCGTTGCCAGGGAAACCTCCATAACCTCTGCCGTCACGTGATGCCTGCTAAGGATATCCCAACCGCGCCTTCTTTTTCACTTATCATGATCATTTAATAAATACCCCTAGCCTTTTTTGGTTAAAATCACCACAGATTTTGAATATATGCACGATGCACAGGGAGGTGACTCAGAAGCGAAGCTAAACAAGATACCAAATCACCGTATAGATCTTTGAAAAATATATAACTTATCATAATAATGCATCTATGAAGATCTTCAGGGATTTCAAAAATGATGAAGAAGGCCTAGGGGCCGAAAGCTTGGATAGGATATTACATCTTTTTAGTAGCATTGTTATGCATTATTATTATGACTTACTTAGAACAAAACATAAAAACGCATTTTGAGTATTTACATCTATAGTATATATTTTATTATGTATAGATGTTAAAATCCTACAAGAATCGACTCCCTTTATCAGAGAAAAATATAATAACTTTTACAAATCAAGAATAAAGATAGGATGTCCATTTGGACATGGACAAATATTGACTTTGTTTTACTTTTCCAAGATTAGAAAAAGCTATTAAAGTGGCGCCAGGTTTTTCGACTGAAAGCGAGGCTAGCGCTGATCAACATTTCTTATGACAAAAATTTGAGTCGTAATTGTGACGTCACTTATCAGCATTCCGACACTAAGGAACAAATTTCACTCTCACAGTATTCCGTATCCATAAAAAAGCATTAAAATTAGCTTTCTAAATGTGAGAGACTTTTAATACATTATATTTCAATAGCAATAGTTCATAAAACATATAATTATGATACCAGTAATTTAAAAACCGCAAAGACGAGAAATAAAACTTCACCCTGCATTGTTTTGCAGCCAATAGGAGAACGACGTCTTCGTCTCCAGGACGACGTCTTGTTTCAGAAGTCCAGCCGACAAGAAGGAACATCGCAGACGTCGGCTGGAATATTTCTATCAAGGATACAACATGAATGCGGAGTAAAGTAAATAAACCGCGATCATAATGGCGTTTAGGGACCCAGAAGGCCGGGCAGAGGAACAACTCAAAGAGAGAGGTTATGTTCTTGGGGAGGTTTTGGGAGAAGGATCTTATGCGAAGGTCCGCGCCGCTTTCAGCAAGAATTACAACCGTCGTGTAGCAATGAAGATCATCAACAGAAGAAGAGCGCCTCGTGACTTTTTAGCCCGTTTTCTCCCAAGAGAACTAGAAATTATACAAAAACTTGATCATCCAAATATTATCAAAACGTTTGACATCATGGAATTCGGCCAGAAGGTAAGACCTTTAGCTTACACATGCCGCAAATTCTTTTCACTTATCCGTCCTCAATGCTTAAGAAAACACTTTTGCTTTTTTTACCTACTTTAAAGCTTGTTAACATTTCTTTTTTTATCATTTTTAAAGCACGCTTTTTAAATCATTAAAACAATATTTATTCTTCTAATGATATATAATTAAAACTAAGTAACGTATATACGATCACAATCAACTCAGACCAAATTAAGAATTGTGGAAAAAAAATTAGACCAAACCTGAGTGAACTGACGCAAATTTAGAATATATGGAAAGTCAGGATGTAAAAAGTGTTACAATCCATGTTTATCACAACATTAATT